AGAACTTAACTAAGAATGCCATTAAATGTGACTGTGAAGATGAGAACTGAAATTTATATTTCATGCATAATTTTAGTGCACAGATTGTTTATTTATAAAAAAAATAGTCAGCTTTTTCCATATGGTTCATGGTATAAGTAATATTATCTTTCCATACTCATTTATTTGGAAATGTATCCTATCCAGGGAAGCTGTGCCATGTCCATTCATCTTCCCTTTTTAAAATTCAAGACTCCGCCAGGCATGGTGGCGCACGCCTGTAATCCCAGCACTCGGGAGGCTGAGGCAGGAGGATCGCTGTGAGTTTGAGACCAGCCTGGGCTACAAAGTGAGCTCAAGGCCAGCCTGAACTGCATAGCGAGACCCTGTCTCAAAAAAGATAAAAATAAACAAATAAATAAAATCCAAGACTCCTTCAACCCATCCAGTGCTACTGAGTCTTGGCCCAGCTCAGAATGGATGAGAAGCCAGCAGAGGACAGCATAACTGGAAATAGCATCACACTGGCAGGGGGGAAAAATAATTTTCTGGAGGCGTTGGCTAGACTCCCTCAGAGATAAGCTTAAACTCCGCTGAGTCTGATCCCAGAGTCTCAGCCAGTGCATGGCAGATTAAACACACAGACTTTCACCTTTGACAAGTTAAACCTTGATTTCACCATTTGTCTGCTGACTGATCTTTAGCATCTCTTAACCTCAGTTAAGATCTAAAATCGAACATAATAATACTACCTGCCTAAAGTCAACATATCGTGAAAAGATTGCAAAAAACATTCATGTAAAGCACTTAATAAAAGTACCTGATATGAAATAAGGCCCAATATATATAATGTTAACTTACACAGCAGAGTTGTCTGCTGCCCTACACGTGCCCTTTGATAAACTCGAAGCTCTTTGCACCCTCTGTGCCTTGTGGGGAGCCTGGCAGAAATAGGTGTTGAGTAAATAACTGCTAAATTTGTGTCCAGTTGATTCCTGTGAAAGTATTAATGGATATAACCAAAGTGACGCCTGGTGAATACTTAGGATATGACCTGTCATCGCAGCATCACCCCTTTCTACAAATATTTACAAAAACCCAGGACTTTGCAGAGAAGGCTGTGTTCCCTCACAGATGTCCGCACAGCATAGGATGCTGCCTGGCTGTACCTAGTACGGAAGCCCACTCTATGGTCCCATAAAATCTAACCACTCAAGAGACCTGGGCGTCATGTGCCTCTCCCGTATTGTACAAATAAGGAAACTGAGGCCAGAGAGACCATCAGAATTCCTGATCCCTGACTCCAAATTCCCACCGGTCACATCTGCAATGCGTGGGAATTTCAGAAGTTAGCCCTTCTTTATGAAAACTAGGGGAAGCAGAAGAAACCATTACCAGAAGAAGTCTAGGCTTATTAAACTACCTTTCTAAATCACAATCTGACAAGAATGCTTCAAGCTAAATAAAGGAAGCTCCAAATACTCCTTTTCACTGGAGAATATAATTTTGCTTCAGCTACAGTTTAAATTGATTTAGTTCCAAGCACCAGCACTTGAAGTGTGGAACATATTCTGTTTTCACCATGATACTTGTTTTGACAGTGATGCATTTCAGTTGACAAAGTTGAAATCCTTGTGTAATAAATCTCTGCCTGAAAATTAATCATGTTTATAATATTCTGAGAATTAATAACACCCATTGCTCAAATCATTAACTTAAAAAAAGGAGCTTCCAAAATCTGTTCTCGGCAGTAAGGGACCACAAATAAATGAATGTTTGATAAAATAATCCAAGTAGCAGTTTAACAAGCGTAAACTGGAATGTGGCTGCAATAACACAGAACTATTGTTTAAGGGTTGGCAGAGGCTGATGAGGTTCTTATTTCAGTTACGAAGCAGGCATCCACAGGCATAATGAACTGCTCTCTGAATTATTAATGTGTTGCTTATTTAGCCTCATCTGTCTAGGAGATAATGTATCCTAACTCTAATGAGTGATTGGTTTTGTGCATAATTACAGTAGCAGCAGTAGTGGGGAAATATGCGCCTTCAAAGAAGGAGTTCTAAAAATAAAGTCATCACATAAACTCTGTTGTTGTTGCATTCTATCAAAATCAAACCCGAAGCATTTGAGAATTCATAATAAATTACAGGAGACAGAATCATTATTAACATCATAATTTAACACAAAAGGTTTTACTTAATCATTCATTATAGATCATGCGCTGTTAAAATGCATATAAACGACTTGGGCTGTTTTAAGATGTTAGCAAAGATGTTTCCTTTCGGTCATTCACCACGTGTGGTTCGCGGGCTTTAGACAAAGAGGGAAGGAGTGAAAACGGATAGCAAAGGATGACAGTTTATGCCACTTCTGATATAATGTAAAAGTTTTTAAAAGGCGATTTCTTTTTTATTTCTAAAACAGACCTTGTTTACACTGTCAAGTGGCTGTTTGTGGAGGAGAGTGGATGGAAAGCCCATACGCCGGTCCTAACCAGGTCTAAAAGCTTCTTAGATACCTGTTTCTGACGTGGAACAATTTTGAGTTCTTCTAAGAGTCCAAAACAGTTTTCTGCTTTCCCCGGTACAGCACATGATTAAAAGGATAGACGCATTTTATGGGTATTAGTTCTGAGTGCGCTGTCTTTGTCATAGCGGTTTCATCCGTGTGGTCCTTTTTCTTTACTTTTCAAAGGGGCTGTCAACTGTCAGATCATAAACCTGACAGCAACGTAGCCTGTTCACACTTGTTCAGGAGGCTTCAGTTCGGTTGTGAATTGCACTGTGCATACATCTGTACAAGCTACTTTTTTTTTTTTTTTTAAAAAGAGCCTATCACATGAGTACACACCCACGGGGGCACTCACACACACAAGCACAGCAGCATCAGCATCGGGACATCCACTTCTCTCTTTAAAACCAAGCACTTTGAATTTGAACTCCACACCAGAAACCATGCCGAGCTTTTCCGCAGTGACTGTAGAGACTTTGAAGTTCTGAAAATCACAATGCGTCTCTTTTGTGTGTAGGCAGCTCCTGAAAGTGCTTAACTCTCTTGACTACAGGAGAATTCCTGTACGTGGCCTGTGGCTAGCAATGAAACCTATAGGCAAGATGGCAGAAATGGGAGGGTGCTTCTAATTCAAAGTACAATTTCTGCTCACGGCTTTCTGAAGCTACACACTTACATGCAGCAAATTGTCTTTGGAAGGCTTGTGTGGAATACTAACTTGTCGTCTAGCTTCCTTTTCGAAATGGCATGGGGTGAGACTTGCCAGTCAGAAGGGCTTGAGTTTCAATGCTATCTTTCCTCATAGCACTGAACCTAGCATCCTGCAGGTCTCTTTGGTGAAAATGGAGGCTACAGGTGGCATTGGTCAGAGGAGATTTTTAGTAAGGTCCTTGGGTCTAATTAAAGGAGAACTATTTCCCCTCTCTGGTCCAAATGTACCTGTGCCTTTGTCTGTCAGTCCTTGTCTGTCTGTCTGTCTTTCTCTCTGATAATGGAAATTAAATCCAGGATCCTTCTACCACTGGTCTATATCCCAGCTCATTTTTATTTTGTATTTTGACAGGGTCTCACTAAGTTGGCAAATGTCCAGCCTGGGTTCACACTGGCAGTCTTTCTGCCTCAGCCTCCCAGAATGCTGAGATTACCAGCTTGCTTATCTTCTTGATAGGCAGAGTTTGAGGGATTCCCATGAGCAGGGGCCTGGCTGGGTCCTCACAGCTAGACCGAGGAGGAAAAGGAGGAGACTGCTTGAGCACCTACAACATCAGACGCCTCCCTAGGGTGACTATGGTGACCCTGGGTAGTCAAACAGGGTTCTCCAACTCCAGAGGCCTCTCCTAGGCCTGAGGGGGCTCAGCAGACAGGCAGGAGACACTGCTCTGAAAGAATATCCCCGGGACACCGGTGTAGGGGGCGGAATTCCTCTATTACCGGTTCAGTATATTAGGATTTCAAACGGAGCTTCATTTATAAAAGGGGCACGAGGCCCTTTGGCAGCTATTAGGGCAACTGTAGCCAGAGAGCCCCAATCTACTCTTCTACCGAGGGCCGTTAGGTCCTCTTGATCATCATTCCTTTTCTCCATGACCCACTCAGCTTGTTCCATCAAGAACTGACTCTTTCCACAGAGACCTGCCCTTTGTTACCTAGGTGCTGAGCTTGGTTAAAGCTTAGAAGCACTAATCAAGCTTGTGATGGGGCCAGTGTTGGGAAGGGCAGAGGCAGATCATGAGGGTTTTCTTAACCAAGCGGGGAAGCTGGGATTTTCCTAAAGGTCATTAAAAGACCCTAAGTAGGATCTTAGATTTGCTTAGATTTGATTTTGCCCTTGCTGCCTTGATGGAAGAGTGTGTCCAGACTACGAGGAGAAATGAGGCAGGGAACCTTAACAAGCAGCTGTTATAACTAGTGTGAGACAGTGAAAGCAGAAACTAGGGCAGTATCTTCATGGTGGGACAGGAGGGCTCTGAGCGGAGGCATTTTAGCAGCTGGAATCAACATGTCTGGTTGCAGGGTGCATGTGGAGCTACGGGTGCCTTAACCCAGTCTCCAGCTGACCCACCCAGGGGAAGTACAGGGGCAAGAGAAATGGCAGTGCAATGCTGGATAGTCTGACCCTGAGTACTCTAAGCAGAGGAGTTCTGTAGAATATTGGATCTAGGAGTCTGAAGCTCAAAAAAGAGACTGGGTGTAAATATGGAGTGTGTCTGAAAGAGCTGGTCACTGAAGCAGCGGCTATCCAGGTAAACGAGCAGAGGACCAAGAGGTTCACTCAAACAGAAGCCCGTGATTCACAGTTCCACAACTGCTTCCTCTTTCTGGACGCCCTGTCCCCTTTCCTCTGACCAAGGCATTCATGTCACCAAACCCATCTCAGGGCAGTTCAGTGATCTGCCTGTTTGTTCTTTTCTCTCTAACGCAACGAGCCTGACGTGCAGAAAGAGCGCTGCACGTGGCCTCGGAGTGTCACCGAACACAAGAACATTCACAAATTATCTGCTGCTTACCGGCACTGACAGGGCGCTGTGGCGCTTGGCTTTTGTTTCTTTCTTTGGGACAAAGCGGGGCACTTCAAGGGTGCTCAGACTGCAATCCAGGTGGCCATTTGTCAGGTAGAGGGTGAGCTGAGTGAGAGCCAGCTGATCACTGTAGGAGAGGCTGAGGCCCGTTGCCCATACCTGATTGAAGCAAGAGGCAGACAGGTGAGGGCGGCATTAGACGCAGGAGGAAGAAGAAAGCCTCCTCCAGCCCGAGGCAGACTACACCAAACCAGACCGGGGGCCATGGGACCTAAGGATGTTTTTGCTTCATCATTCCCCTGAGGGATGGAGGCTGATTCTACTCAGAAGACTCGAGGTTCTATGAGAAGTTACAGAAATGAGAAGATATAGAGGTGACTAGTCCTGACAACTTCACGTTGCCTTTGATTTCTCTGCCTGTGGTTTGCCATTTCACGGGTAGTACCGTGTTTTCCTACTGAGGAAATGAGACACAGTGCAAGCTTCAGAGGGTGGGAGAATGGAGAAGAAAGGAGTAAAGAGGGACTGAATCTGAGGCGGAAGGAGTGAGAAATATGAGCAAAGGGTAGTTTGTCTTGATTTTAGAAAAAGCAGTGTGGGTCTTTCTGGGGCTGTCAGCATGAGACTAAAGGGAAGCTGACGGTCAGCCTGTAAGGCATAGCTGTACCACTGAACTGCAAGGTGCAGGAATACCAGTTTCCCACCCCACAAACAACGTCACTCTACCCTCAGCTGGTAATGGATGATAACACATTATCTTAGAGGCATCACACGATTATTAGAGTACTACAGTGCGATGAAAATGCTTCGAAAAATAGACACATTAGTTATAGATAACCCTCAACTACTAGATAACTGAGTAATGTCCGTTAATTCCATTCAAAGGATTTATTCTGTCTTAAACTGGCCAGTGATAAGCATAGGTCATCTGCTACTTCTTCCTTCTCCTAAGACAGATCCACTTTAGATTTCCACCCTCACACGGAATCTACCAGCATCCCTGGAATTATCCTCAGTTGCATACTGAAGGTATAGATATCACTGTGGTAGGCACGGGAGGCTCAGAGTGAACAGGCCGGAGTCCCGCCAAGAAGAAGGCAAAGACAGATACATATTCAATTAGTTATAATATAATGTAGCACGTAACGTAACAACGGGAGGGGACAAAGTACTACTGAAGCAGAAAGAAAAGACAGGCTGGGTTGGCCCAGTGAGGCCAGGGCTGCGTTCCAGAGTTTTAAAACAGCTGAATGTTAAACAAGCAACAAACCACGACTGGCTCTCGTGTATCAAGTACCTACAGTGCACCAGGAGCTTCACAAACATCTTGGATCTTTTATTAACCTAAAAAAATCCACATTACAGATAAAGAAACAAGTCAGCAAGGTGCCCAAGTCCACACAGGAAGTGGTGGTGCTGCGATTGGATTCCAGTTCTGCTCAGCTAGCTCCCAGGTCACCCTGCTTACATCCTGTGCTGATCCTGTACCAATTCTCCAGTCAAATTCAAAGCTAAAGTCGAAGAGGATCAGAATATCTTCTTGTCCCATATAACCCACGCCATGGAAATGTCTTGCGGAGAAAACATGAAGGATGTATTTCTGGAGTATGCTGTAATTAGCAGTAATGCATTTTCACTGTAGGAAGTTGGAAATGAATGCATTTCCATGAAGACTTGATTAAATATTTTTTCCTCTTCAAAGGCCGAGTGCCCCATTCGCCAACTCTGTATGTTAAAGCACATAATACATCTCCTTAGAGTGGACGCCTCTCAAACGGATCTCGCAGGGAGTGAGTTGAGTAAGCATTGAATGTAAATGACATCATTACAAGGATATTAAGGGGTCAAGCTGTCAAGGCCCCTTGCTAAACTGAAGCTAATTTCAGGAGTCATATTCACACAGTAATGCCCTTTTATAATCGCAAATAAATCACACTTGCAACAATTGTTGAAAACTAACTGCCAAATATCCGTTGCAGTTGTAAATATACTATTTGTCAACTTAAATATTTCCTGCTGCATGGCGCCAGATGTAAATCAGATGGGGAACAGCCGCGGTTCTTTCATAGGAGGAAGGAGCTTGCTGTTCTTGCATGTCAGACATTTCCCCCTAGAATTTCTATTTTGATGTCTAGTGTTCTTTTTTTTTTTTTTTTGGTTTGTGGTTTTTCTCCGGTACCAGGAACCGAACTCACGACCTTGCGCTTGCCAGGCAGGTGCTTTTGCCGCTGAGCTAAATCCCCAGCCCGATGTCTAGTGTTCTTGATCAAAGAGAAACTTATATAACAAGCGTTATTAATGTGTATATTGATAATGTTAATGCTTTGGTGATAAGGTTTTAATAGAAAGGCAGCACAGAGGAAGGGAAAGGCTAGAAGCAAGGATTCAGCCTTTATTTACTTATGGCCTCCCTGCAGTGTAAACTTAAACGAGTTTCCGAGGCTCTCCCCATCTTAGTATTCTCAGGTATCAGAAGAGGAAACGATTATACCTACTACATGGATTTGGGGGGGAAAAATAAATGCACATAAACTGTCTTTAAGTTATAACATTAATACAAATGTTGTTATGACTATTGAAAATTCTCTTTGAGGACTAGATTTTTAAGATACACAGCCGGGGATATAGTTCAGTGGTATAAGTGCCTGCCTGGCAAGCGTAAGGTCCTGAGTTTGATTCCCAGTACCAAAAAAAAAACAAAAAAAAAAACAACACATTTTTTGGGGTGTCTATGTAGCTATTTAGATCATCCTGTTATATGTTTCCCAAGCTGTAATTGTTGGATTCAACCTCACAACAACTCATTCTAGGAGGTGGTGGGGTTTTGGGCAAGGTTACCGTTACTCTAGCTTTACTTTACTGATGAGGATACTGAGATTAAAAAGCAGTTTCATGATTTTTTTTTTTGTCTTTTTGAGACAGGGTCTCACTATGCAGTTCAGGCTGGTCTTGAACTCACTTTGTAGTCCAGGCTGGTCTCAATCTCACAACGATTCTCCTGCCTCAGCCTCCCGAGAGCTAGGATTACAGGTGTGTGCCACCACACCCAGCACAGTTTCATGATTGGATTGAGATCACAGAGCACAGACCAGAGCTCGAGATTTTCTAGAGATGAAGTACTTTTGCCTTCCCAGGCTGCCCTAACTCCTTGGTTCACAAAGGAAATGGTAGAACAAATTTCCTTAAGCCTTTTCCTCAACAGCAGGCTTGTCTGATTTGCTTGGATAATTGTTCTCTTCTCCATCTGGTTTTTCCACTGAATCCACCACCCAAGGCATGTTTGTTTCGTATCCAGGAGTTCTGATCTCCCCCTCTAGACTGTCAGCCATTTAGGGGAGCCGTGGAGTTGTTGTCTTCCTGTAGCACCCGGTGTTTGGGGTAGGCTGGTGAGGCCATGGTCATTCACAAGTCCAGGGCTACACTGTAAACTCCTTACAGCTTTGAGAAGCAGGTGTGTGTGTGTGTGTGTGTGTGTGCGTGTGTGTGTGTGCTCTAGAGGCTGCACTCCAATTCAAATGAAGCAAATACTTACTGAGCATGTCTTCTGCGCCAGCTGCAAGCTTTAATCCACCCTTCATTTAACCTTATTTTTGATTTCAGACTTTGATGTTCATTTTAGGAACTCCCCTCTCTGCATGGGATACCCCCATCACAGTTTAGATAAGTGATGACTGTAGCTTCAAAGGCACCGTGAGCAGGGGCTGAGGCGAGTGGATGGATTTTAAAATGTGTAGGTAGAAGCTTTGGCATGACTTGCTTATAATGACTTATAATGATTAGCTTGACGGGTTAATTGATTAGATGTAAGGGTGAGGGCAAAACACTACTGAAGGTTAGAGTTGGAAAGACCATTGAAAAACACCTAATACAATCAGTTTATTTTATAAATGGAGCAGCTCTTGCATGGAAAGTGGTGGTCTGTCCTAGGTACAGAGCCGGGGATCAAAGGTGCATGGCAAACATCTAAGGTGTGTCGACTCTCAGTCAGAAATCACTTGTTGGTTATTGTTTGACTGATGATATTACAGATCTGATGATATTGCATTTTGTTAAAAATGGCTAAAGCGCTAGAGAGACTTACGTCAAAGCCTTAAGAGTACAAGGAACACAAAATATTCATCTCAGTATTATTTGTAATATTATAAAACTATAGCAGTCCCACATTTGGGCATCAGCTAAGAAGCTTATGACACACCAGAGTGATGGGATGGTCTGTGATATTATCATGAGAGATGATGCAGTCATGAATACCTTGATTTAGGAAGCAGCAAGCAACAAGAGGATAAAAAGTTACATAAGCAACATGACTTCAGCTGTGCAAAAACAATATACATAGATGACTAGATGAGAATATAACAAAATGTTAACCACAAAGGTAAGATTAGCAGAATGATAACTGCAATCACATACAGACTTTCACGCATCTTCTACATCTACACTATCTAATATGGTGGCCATGAGCCACGCATGGCCACGGGCGCTTGAAACGTGGCTGGTTCAAGCTGAGATGTACTCTTGATGTGAAAACACACCAGATTCCCGGGACTGGGGATGTAAAAAACACTGTAAAATAGCTCATCAATAACATTTCATACTGAAAGAAAGGCTAAAATGATAATACTTTGGTTATGTTGGGTTAAATAAAAGTATTATTTTCATCTACCTTCTGTTAACTTTGCAAAATGGGCCTACTAGAAAATGAAAAATCACACCCATGACTTGAATTCTATTCCTATTGGATAGGTTGTAATGAACACCACTGAACTTGAGCAAAAAGGTAGGACCAGGGCAGGTATACAGGGCTGAGGTGCTGCCTGTGTCCCAGCTGTCCTGTGCCCTGACCGCTAATAGCACTCATTACACCTGCACCCAGAGACCTGGTAGACAGGAAGGGGGCCAGGCCAGAACGGTTGTGTTCCCAGCTTCTTTGGGATGACAGGGTAGGAACTGTCTTGTGTGGGGAGGGGTGGGAGAGAGGCCCAGTATGGAGCCCCCTTTGCCTTAGGTGTTCAAGCAGATAGAGGCCACCTGCTCACCCCTGCTGCTTCTACCTCTTTCCAGTAACAGGTGGGATGGATGGGTAGCACAGCATGCAGATGTGGGCAGATGTGCTTGGGACCTACATTCTGAGACTGTCTCCAAGTGCAAGTAAAGTTTTT